GCGGACCGGGGCCGCTCATCTGAGTCACAAGTTCATGGAGGCGTTGCATGCTGATGATGTGCACGCGGTTCCCTTGCTGTGTGCTGATGGTGTATAGTCACGAGTGCTGTTGTCGGTACCGAAAGGTGGATCAAGTCGCGCAATGAGAAGCTCTTCAGCCCGAGCCTTGAAATTGTGATTGAATTCCTAATCAAAGAGCGTGTTGCCATGTGCGATGATGGCGTTTCACCCAACTGATGGAGCTGAGCTCTGCATGCGTGCTTGCTGGATGCACGTATACCCCCAATTACAGTCTTTACCATCGCTGCGTCCTCGACGCCTTTTGATGAGCAGTCAGGACAATATTTGTCGCATGAGAAATCTTGAACGGTTCACGCAAGCCCTCAACATCAGCCGATGCGTATATTCTTGCTCGGTCGCAGACTGGCACAGCAGTAGAGGTTGACTGACAGACAGCTCTGACAAGCATTTGCATTAGGAGACGCCGCCACGATGATCATTCTTGATCCATAGTCGTGAGTGCGGTATGCTGCCAGACGTCGTCTGGCAGGAGCAGCGGTAGGGCGCAATTTGAAATAACCAGACAGGGTCTGGGTGTGGATGTGATTGTTCCCAGCCCGGTGAATAATGACGGGGTGGACGACAACAGGGCAGCTAGGGGCAACCAGCAACGCATGCGGTCGTGCCAGGGTTCAAGATTCGTGGTCAGCATCAGACCACAGCGTCACGGATCGAGAGTCAGAGTCAGAGTCAGACTGACGAGGATCACGTGAATGTCGCCCTTTCGGCTTTCCTGAGCTGCACCTTCCGCGTGCTCTTGATTCGATCGCTGCTCGTCGGATGTGAGAGGCGTGATGTGACGGGGCGCGCTCGACGCACACGCGCCAACATCACACGTCTTTGAGACCTCGCCACCCGCGCTAATTACGGTACTAAGGGTCAAAACCTAACCTCCACGCGCAGCATTCAGCGCGCGGCAGAATCCTGCTGAATGTGTCAGTCACAGCGGCATCAGCCCTGCATGCGCGCGTGATGACATGCACGCAGCAGCACTCACCACTGTTTGATTGATGCTGCATCGCATCGCCGTTCTGCTCTCTGCTGCCTGCGCAGCCCCCTGGGGCAGACGCGCCGCCACTCCTTCATCGCCCGGCGTCCGTGTGCGGGCAGCTGCATGCTGCCTGACGCATCAAGCGGCAGCATGCAGTCAGAGTAGCAGCCACTTCGCGCCCTTCGATCTTGACGCTCTGGCAGGCATGATCGGCGTCCCATGCACGGTACTACTCACACTGTACGGTACTGGATATGTTCACGCACGCGGGCATCTTCCGCGCCAGCACAGGTTACGGTGATTGAGAGGCCTGGTGGAGAAGGTCAAAGTTCAAATCGTAAATCATACATCCGCGTACCTTGGGCCCATCTACTCCTCATTCTGTCACCACGGACCATCTTCTGCTGTCACTGGCGAGAGATCCCTCGTCGCGCCTATCATCTCGCTTGGCTTGGTACCATTTAAATCCAGTCCCCATCCATACCGTGACAGTGCAGCGACACGAG